ATTTCCCAGAATGCCCCAGAATGCCAGGTGCAGTCACTACAGAGGTGTTTTTTTGGGGGGGCGGGTGGGGTGGGAATTGAAATGCAGTTTCTCAGCTGCCCGGGGTAGTGCTCAATGCTTGTAAGCAGATGACCTAGAATGCTATAATAATTAATAATAATAATAATTTATTATTTGTACCCCGCCCATCTGGCTGGGTTTCCCCAGCCACTCTGGGCGGCTTCCATAGAAACCAAAAAAGACTAAAATATCATACATTAAAAACTTCCCTGAATGCTAGGGCCTGTCCGTTCTATTTTCCTTGAAACTGGAACTAAGCAAATCTGTTGGTAATTCTGTTTAGGGTTCCTTTGTGTGGTAAAGGAAATAGATGCTGCGATAGTAATCTGTATGCTGTAATTTGTGCTGATCTATCATCGCACAAAGCCTATGGGGAATGCCCCCTGTGAGAGAATAGAGGTTACTTCTCTGTCACCTTTGGCTGGAGTCCTCTCTCTCCACACTGACCCGTTTTATGAACAGTCCCTTTATGTACTTCCACAGCCTCACCCACTCGAAGAGGTAAAGAACATAGGGAGCCGAAGTCCCATTGAGTCCAGCATCCTCTTCTCATGGCTGCCAACCACATGTGTTCGGGAAGCTCACAGGCAGGACCTGAGTGCAACAACTCTCTTCCTACTTGCGATTCTCATCAACTAGAATCAAGAAGCATATTGCCTCAAACTGTGAAGGTCAGAAAACAGTGCGGCCTTCCTTGGCTCCTGGCATCCGCCCTTCGTACTAAAACCAGCAGGAAAGTTTTTGGTTGGCTCATCAGTTATGAACTGCAGCTACTTCATTTCAACTCATACTCATAATTTCACTGCAGTATGTACTATATTATAGGCCGATTGCATGTCTTCACAATATAATGAATGTCTGCCTGACGTGTAATTTGGTACTATCCGAAGCTGGTCTTCGTGGCAGTACTGAGCTGCTCTTTTCAACAACATTGGCTTCATTGCCATCATTTCTGAATTACACTCTAAGCAACAACTCAAACTGTTTAACCACCTTTTTGGGGCTGCGACCGGGGGGGGGGGCAGGGGAAGACTCTCTCTTTTCTTCTTGAAGCAAAAGTCATCATCCCACTTCTAGAACAGCTCAAAAAATGCTGTAAGAGCGAAAACGTGGCTGTCCTCCTCCTCTGTTACAAAGGGAACAGTATGTTTGGTAAACAGAGAGCATCTGAAAGTCATTCTTGTTCCAAAGTGTCTGGAGAAATTAATCTGAAATCCAGATGAACAGATGATACAGCGACTACAAGACTTCCAAGTGATAATGGATATTGAATTAAGGGTGAATTTGGCCCTGACAGGACAACCAAAAGGAATTTACCACTTGGATAGATATGCTTGCATCTCATAAGGCTCTGAAATCAAAGTGTTGCATAGCTGATGGCATTAAATACTGGCACAGAAGGCAGGCGCAACGTCCCTTTTGCAAGACTGCACATCTATGCCAGAGATGCTTACCTTGAGAAGGGCCACATAAGGACGTCTATGCAGCTTTCTCTGCTTATGCAGTCATAGTTGGCTTCTGCCCATCATGCTGCAGGAGAGCGCTGGCATTTAAAGTCCCAAACTTCCCAAACTGAGCACCTGTGTTCAAGGCTACTGGTTTTAATACCTAAAGGTTGCAGCTGAAGAGAGCTGTAGTACAACTTCCTCATAAAGGGATGGTATGGATGATATGGCACAAAAGGGTGTCGAAAGCAGACACAGCAGTGTTGTACAAGTTTGGAAGCCTAAAATGTAACAATTATAACACACAATAAAATATGTGCATTGATGAAATGGCTTGTGTGTTAAAGCAACATTAACTCCACCTGTTGAGATGGGCACAGCAGTTTTCTCTCCCTAAAATCTCACAATTTTGAATTTATGGGACTGTGTTGAAGATCTGGAATACTATGAACATAAAATTAATTGATGGTGGTTATGAGGCACTGAGGAAAGAGGGTGCTAAGCAAAATAATTAAGTACACTTACCATTCCCAACTGCAGTTTTGGGGGTGTCTGGTGCACTTGGAACTGTAGCCTAGTCTGGCAAGTGCATGTCGGCTAGTCAGTTGTATTCCAGGTCATCTATGAGTTGTATTGGCTAAAGGCTTTACGGGCTACTTCACATGTCAGAAATCTGATCAAAGACTGAGCCAGCACAGAAGTACCTCATCAATGATGATGACAAATGAGCTCAGTACACCTAGAGCAAGATGGTGGGCAAAGAATAAAACTTTTGGTCTCCCCTCCCCCAAATGTAACCTTTGGCCAATTGAGCTCATGCAGAATGCAATTTCAGTAAGGGAACCTGCATATGCAGCTTTGCGGGGTGGGGGAGTTTTGAACAGTTGTGCTCTGTGCAGAGCTGCCATTGAAAATGGAAAGCGACAGCAAGTCCAGAAAACGGTTGTGTACTTTTTATCAGGAGAGAATGTGGATGCAGTTACCAGGCTAGGGAACCTGTGGTCCGTTACATGTTGTTGGACTCTGCATCTCCCATCAGACCCAACCAGCATGACCCGTGGTCAGAAAGGATGGGGTCCAATAACATCAGGAGGGCCAGAGGTTTCTCATTCCTTCTACAGATTTATCTAGAAATCTGGGTTCTTTCATACACTCCCCCCCCCCCGCTGTGTGTGTGTACATGAGTACTTCTCTGGGTCTTTGGCTCAGGCCAGCAAAATGAAATCATAAGAGCAATGTTCTTCATGTGGTATTTAAAAAGAGGTTCACATTTCTGGAACGGATAAGAAGTTAGCAATTTTGTTTATTCATGGATAGCATGTCCCCATATCTGATTAGTAGCAGGGTTTGGGAACCTTTTTGGCATACAAATTTAAGGATTGGTCTAATTGGGTAAGTTTTGATGCGTTGTTACTGTTCCTATGGAAAATGTTGAGTCCCTTATTTTGTAAAACAACCTCCATTCACCACCACCACAATGGCTTTTATTTATTTTTTTATCAGTCTTGCGAATAAGTCTGCAAAAGTTACTAGCCTGCGAAACTTTCCCAGTTGCGTCTTTCAAGGCCAGTTGGTGCATCTGTGGGTTTGGAAGAGCCTTGGTGCCCACAATGGCAACTGCCTGGGTTTGCAGAAGTGACCACATCACTAGAGATTGCTTGGTGTAATTTGGAGCCTGCATGTTTGTTTAGGTGCTTTCCATTCCTTCTCTGGCACTTTTTGTGCGACCCATGACATGGGTCCTGAGGTTGGCCAGGGTGGAGTGTGTACTTCCGATTCTTCAGTGTGTATCAAGATCTTAGCTGAGATCTGATTGGCAGTGTGTTGGACTAGATGACGCTTCCAATGCTAAATCCACGGTTCTGTGGTTGCCCAGTCTGTGCTTAGTGGCATTCCTGTGCATGGTTGAGGGTGGAGGTGATCATTCAAGTAACAGGGAGGGTTTGCTTATGCCACTGCTGGCCGTGGTGAGGAGCTGTGCACGCCAGGGGTAGCGCGCTGCGGGGCCCCCAGAGTCTGCCTGCCTCCTGTGACTCAGCCGCCCTACAGCTGAGGGGGAGGCAGCGGGCGGATTGTTTGGGCAGCGCAGAGCCTGTACGTGCCCAAGCCACTGTGTCTCTCCCAGGAGAGACGTGTGGCTCGGGCGCGCTGCAGGCCCCGCAGTGAGTGTCACCCAGCTTTTTGTCGCCCCCCCCCCCAGTGGTGACATCCAGGGTGGCCCACCCCCACCACACAGCCCTTCCTCACCCCTGGCTGGCCCACCGTGGTCTTGCCATGCTGCCTATCTAATCAGTGCAGTCTTCGCATTTGATACAGCTGCCTAACACTAGTGTGAGGTTGTGACTTGTGGAGCTGCAGGTGTGTGGTGCGACCTTGGCATCTAGTTCTAGCCACTTTTTGTCTAGTGTAGCAAACCCAAGTATTATGCTGCAAGCTGCTCTTCTGCAACCCAGAGAGCCACCAATTATATTCTGTTGGTATCCACTTAAACAACAACAACAGTTTGTTCTTCTATTTTTGTATTATTTAGCACTAATCAAGAAAGAAGAACCAGGAGACAAAATAGAAGGTAGAACAGTCTGGTTTTATTACTTTATGTCATCAAGAGACTCCCCCCCCCGCCCTTACCTTGCCATTTTTTCCTTTTTCTATTTTTAAAATCTTAATTTTATTATTTTTTGCTTTCCTTTTTTTTTTAAACAACATACATTTAATCGTGAATCGGATGTTAAGGGAATGTGGAGATGAAGGGAAGTTTGGTGACATCACAATATTTTACAACTTTACAACAAATGAGAGTCCGAATTGGTTGCGTCTAACCAGTGTATAGCAAGAGTGGAAAGCAAAGGCACACTTAGGTCTAAGAACCTCTTCACGCAAAATGGGGGTGGGGAGAGGTGTCAGGTGGGGGGAGCAAGGGAAGGATCTGAACAGGAAAAAAACACCACACTCAAGTACAAAATGGGCACCTCAAGGTTAACCCAGTCTTTGTCAGGGTGTATATTACAAAGGCAGAGATCTCTGTACAAAGCTGCAGTGATTATTCATTTCTACATAATGACAGAATGCTTTGTTAAGATTGCAGAGAGGGGGCCACTGTGCCCTTCGCAACTCCAGAGGGTTGAGCTTGGGGAGGAAAAGACTGCATTGCTCCTTTTCTTTGCTGATGAGTCCCCTGCCACCTGCAGCTTAGGAAGAAATGAAGAAACAAAGCCAAACGGAAAACCCCAACAAGAAACATAGCTTTGACTTCAGTAAGCATAGTTCACGAATGGTGGACGAACCAGTTTAGTCAGAGAGGCAGAGTGAAAGCAGGGAGTATGCAAGCACCATTGGTATACACACTTTGGTTTTGATCATCCAGGCTCTCTAAACGACCTCCTGTGTGCTAACCAACTTGAGAAGTTTTCCTTTCTTTATCATTAAAAAGCAAAACACCCCCTCCTTCTGAAATCCAGCAAAATAAATCCAAGTGAAGTATAAAAACCCTTCTCTTAAAAAAAAAGTCCGTCCCCAAGCAAAAGAAAAAAACCAAACCAAAATAACTAGCTCCTCCCTCTCAAACATTCGATCCAGGCAATATAAAACACACTCACATTCACACACCACTTTTTGCTACAGTATGTTGACAGAGTTATTAAAAACAAGATACATGCTTGTGCATGAACCACCCAGAAATTGTGACACACACACACACACACACACACACACACACACACACACACTGTGCACCCACATTTCAAACCCCACAAATGGGAGCAAATTAAATCAAAGTAGGAGCACCTCCACTTTTTTTTAAAATTAAAAAAGGGGTTATGCAGCATCCTTTTGGGTTTGCGTTACTGTAGCTGTTATTGGGAACCAGCAGGAGCCAGCCTGCTTTATATTAATTTCCATTTCATTTTATGTGCTGTACATAAATGCTGTGCGAGGGTGCCTGGTTTTTTTTTTTGCTTTGCCAGACAGCACCTAGTGCTTGCCTTCAGTTGACACATCAGACTTTTGATGACAGTCCTCTAACGACTTCTTTGCTGGTTTGTGAGTAAGACTACATCACTATGCAGAAGGGATATGAAAAGATTCGGGTAGAAGGAATAGCTGCCCGCAGTACGGCGATGATACTGCCAGCATAGCCCAAGGGGTGGTCTGAGAACCAAAACTAGAAAAGTCACACTGAAGCGATGTGCATTGTTACTGCCTCGCCTTCTGATGAGCTGGAGTGTCGCTGTTACAGTAACCTCAATATTCTTCCTTGAAACGTGCATGTTCTCCAGAGGAGTAATTGAGGATGGAGATAAATAAATATCTGATTTATTCTAAAGGGAAAGGGGGCACACACGACAGCTCACAAAGATACACAACTGAAGGGTGTAAGGCACAAATTTACATGTGGAAGAAAGTAGGGTATTCACAGATGTGTTTTCCACCAACAAACAACGCTCTCCCCTCCCTGCCCTTGTGCGGTTAAGACCGTGAGCTACGCACGGCAAAAGCCAGCATAATATGGATGAGTCCATGGCGTTTGTGGATTTTTGTCTGCCATTTCACATGCAAGGGTGAAATGGGATGGCAGAAAACAAAGCTGGTGCCTTCACAGAAATGATGAGCTATTGACAAAACCATGTTCACAGCAGAGGGGCCAAGGAGGGCAGCTTTCAACACTGCGGCAGGAAGTTACTGTAGGAAGATAGGAACCTTGTTGTGGAACGGGGTGGTTTCTCTTTGACTACTGCCCGGCACGGAGGCTGGAAGGCAAGCTTATCTGACATTTAAATAAATACTCCCCTTTTTTGTTTTCCAGAAAGAGATCAGAGAGTCCAAACACAAAAGTTCAAAATTCCACCTTCAACTTATTTAACTCAGTGAATTTATTGGAAAAATAAAAAGAGTTTTAATTACTCCAGTTAATGGGTTTCACGTTAAATAGGCATAATTTTCAACGTATTTCGCTTTTTTTTCCTTCTGGAGAGAGCTGCTCATATGATGATATGCAGAAGTAATTTCCTTAGGAATAATAAAAAAAGACAAAAGGATGAACAATAAATAATAGGAGTTACTTGCGTTAACAGTCACATGTTATTCATTAAAAGAGAAGAGGGGTGGAAACCTAGGACAGAGTGGTTGCCCAACATGGCAATCGGCTATAACCAAATGGCTGTAACACTGATGAGCATTTCACAGTACCTGCACAGAGTAAATGTCTGCCACAGTTCAGTTAAGAGTTAGCTTAATCAATGAATTCCTTCCTTCCTTTCCGTTTTCCATTTGTTTGGGGTTGTCGTTTCCCCCGTTTCCGTCTTGGCTTTCAAAGCACTCAAGTTCCCAGATCCGGAATTGCGCAATGTGCAGTTTCCGAGTGAAGTTATCACAGTCATCATTCTCGTGTGTGCTTTTGGCTCAATGTTTTGTGGTTAGTCTTTTGAGTAAAAGAGCTGTTGCATCGTGGGGGTGGGTCCTACAGTTGCAAACCATGTATTGCATGACCCGATTGTTTACCCCCCCTCCCTTAAAAAATAAAAAATATTCCACTTTCCCCAGAGAGCAATGCATCCACAGGCTCAGGCAGCTTCCTGGTCAGTTGAAAAAGAGCATTGCCGTTGCTAAACACTGCCTTTGTAATGGCGTACTCTGGTCACCTGCTGTTCCCCCCCACCCCACGGTGATTATGTACATGCATCGTTAGGCTTCATGGACGTGGAAAGAGGGGAGAAGGAGGGCTTGGGGGGTACGTCTGGTTTTAACGACGGTGTGCGTTTCAACCCTGATCTTGTCAGCGAGTTGTATGTCATGAGGCTGGGCTGTCTAGATACAGTCACGGTCTGACCCTGAGCGGCGTGGACCTGTATAGAGTCCACCCTTTGTGGGGCAGGAGGGGGGTTGTCCCCCCTGCCAAAGCTCTGATTTCTCGAGAGGTGGGAAGAATTAGAAGAATTAGTGTTATTCCTTTTGAGGGTGGAGGCCTGGTGATTTCTCGTAAGCGAGTTCGTGGCGTAGTTTCTCTTGTAGTCCACGTTATAAGCGGAAGAATGCATTTCCAGTCGCTTGCCCAGGCCGCCCTGGGCGAGGGAGGCCCCGGGAGGCCCCAGGGAGGCTTCCCTCTGGGGTACTTTGGGCGGCATGCTATCCAGGTTCTCTACCAGGTTCACCCCGTGGTTGGGGCTTTTGCCGCTGAGATGCTCCTTGATGGTTTTGTACTCGAGGGTGGCGTTTTGGTCCTCCATCGCCATCTGCGCCATGTCGCTCATTTTGGGCTGGTCGACGTACTCGTGCTGGTAGCCTTGCTGAGAAATGGGCAGGACGACGACGCTGGGGATGTGGCTGGGAGAAGCCCTGAGAGGGAGGTCGGTGGGGATCACGGGGGATGCCATAGGGGGGATGTCTTTTGTGCAGGCGTTGATGAGGTTCTGGTTCCTCTCCCAGTCTCTGCTGCCGCGGCTGGGCTTCCTCTTCTGCTGCAGCGTCGGGGTCGACTCTGGAGTCGGTAGAGCGGCCAAGTCCAAGTGATGCTGGTCGGCTTTGATGAGCATCTTGGCGGTGCTGCCCGGCGTAGCAAGCTTGCCGTTGTGCATCAGCGGGGTGAGGATGGCTTCCGGCTTTGGCTCTTTGGACTGAGTGTCCCCAAAGAGGCCACTGAGCTTGGTGACACTGCTCATGGAGCCCCTGCGGGATTGGGTCAGCTCCTTCTCCTTCCTCTGCACGATGGTCACGTCTCTGCGCCGATGGTCGCAGATGCAGTACACTATGATCCCCGAGAAGACAGCCCCCATGACAAAGGCAAGAATGACTGCAATGGCCAGGAGGGTGACCGGCACCAGTTGGTCGTGCCCTTTGAGATAACTCTCCCGAATCACTCCTGCAACAAATATCATAAAGAGGTAAGCAGAGAAGCACAGGGGGGAAATGGTTACGGTCAGTGTTAATCCATTTAAAGACATTCTCTAGATCAGGGTTTCCCTAAGTTGGGTCTCCAGGTGTTGTTGGACTACAACTCCCATCATCCCTAGATAGCACGGCCAGTGGTCATGGATGATGGGAAATGTAGTCCAAAAACAGCTGGAGACCCAAGTTTGAGAAACCCTGCTGTAGACACAACTCCTGCATTTTGAAAACAACTCTTAAAGATGTGGCGATGAGTGACTCGGGGTGGTCCCAATATTGAGTGCTCCTGCAGTGAGTGGTCACAACCCAAAGACCAACTGAGGCTATTTTTGAGATAGGTCAAAAGTGGTTTGCCATATGGCACATGGAGTTTGGAGCAGAAGCCCTGAATGAGTTATATCATTCTTTGGCTCTTGAGGGGAGAACCCCTATTATGGGATGGTTGTCTGCATCACATCTAGTTGAGCACTCACGTACGTTTTGGTCTGGTCTCTTAAGGAAGACCGAGAAAACTCAACCCTCATCCCCATTCCAAGTGGTATTTTCCAGTCAAAATTTGAAAAGCAAATGAAACATCCTCAATGTGTATCTCTCTTTGCAGAGAGTCGTGCCAATCTTTATTTCCAGAGATCTTCCTTCCTGCTTCTGCAGAAACCTTGCCATTTTATGGTATACTGCAGCTCCTAGGAAATCTCCCTGCAGCAGCTGGCCTTTTTAGCACAGTTAATCCTTTTAAGCGTACAAAAAATAAATAAAAAAATGATTTGAATGTACCCACCAACTACCATACAGAATATTAAGGGAGAAAATGCAGAAATATTTTTTTTTCAGTTGTATAGCCTGCTGTGCACCAAAGCCTTTAGACCTGCTCACACATACACAACAATGCTTGCAGAGGGAAATGAAGGGGGAAACAAATGAAAATGTAGGGGGGGAAACCTTGAAGCTCTTTCTGGACCAAGGTCATGCTACACAGGTGAAGGACTATTCCTGTACGGTCTCCTCCAATGCAAAAACATTATCCCTGCTTTATACATTTAACTGGGGATGCTGCCAAAATTGGGGGGCCAAGGAGTAGACAAGTTCCTCTTTCTCAGCCTTAGCTAGCCTGCAGTCTGGGTGCTCTGAGTGCACATGTATAGAGATGTGGGACGTGCAATTTCTCTCCCGCTGAAAAATAGGGCGGGTGGTGCAAACTGGGCTGTTAAGTGATGATGTGTTCACATCGAGCACTCAGTTGACATGGGAGGCTATCTCTGCGATGGTGAGACTCACATTTGGTCTCTGTCACACTGTTTCAGAGCTTTCTGAAGATGAATAGATGAGTCAGGTTTATGTAATGAGGAACCAGACCTGTTTCCCTCCCCCTTGTATTCATCTATGGTCTAAAAGTCAGATCACAGCCGAATGCTGAAATCTTGCTTTTAAAAGTGGTGAATCCCTATCAAATTTTGGAGACCATCTGAACCCAATACCAAGTTATTATAGTTAAATGTAAAAGTACCATTATTGCAGCAGAGATCGAATGGGACTGGTTTTACTGCATGACAAGGCTTTATGGAAGATACAGATCATTTGTAGAATAAATTGCAATCGTATTTTAACGTCGTTTGCATGCAAACTATCTCCAAAGAATACGGCAGCAGAAATTGAGCCTCATGGAAAGCATTGATAAGCAGCCCTCTAGAATTATTGCTCAGCTGTGATAGATTTGCTGTCCTTTTTTAAATAATAGTGTGTATGCATTTATGGTATATTTGCATTCAAAGCAGGAACTCAAATGCTTTCTGAAATTATAAAATCCAGTTGTGAAATTAGTTTTGCATGGAAATGATTGCATTGTGACGAGCAATTAATAATTTCATATAAGGAATGAGCAGCAAGGAGAATTTCTCCCTTGGAAAGCAAATGTTAACGCCCTCAGTTGTCTCACGGCCATTTCCCACTGCATAATAGACCTGGGGGAGAGCTAGTTTCGTGCGGCTTTCATGTCAAAACTTCTCTGCATGTAAAAAAGGTTACAGAAAAAAATCTATTCCTCTTTCTCCTCTTTAATGTATATGCCAGGGGTGGAGAACAATTTGCAGGCTGATCTTCGCCTCCTGGGCTTCCTCATTTGTCTCCCAAGGCTATTATGTTCAAGCTATGCACACACCCCACTTACACGTGAAAAGGCTGTTTTCTGAAGTTGGTTTCTGAAGTTCCCAAGCTGGGTGTTTGGAGCCTTTGAAGCAGTGTATTAAGTGGCGACCTGGTGCCAGGGCTGGCCCAAGACATTTTGCTGCTCAATGGCACCCCTGCCCCCACGACAAAGCCCCCCCAGATCCATCCCCTTCCCCCTCACCTGCGACGAGGGGATGAAACGTCCTCTGCCTATGGACTTACTGTGCTCTGTTGCAGATTGTGCACAATTCCAGAGTAGATTTCTGTGGTATGTGTAGCCGATCGACAACCCTAAAAGCCTGCACAGGTTGGTTCTAAGTAGTGAGTGTTATCAATCCCATGGGAATAAACTGGTGCCAAACAATAAAGGACAACACCCAACTAGACAGCTCTGTCCGTGGCTAAACTTAGTATAATTTCTCTGGCTATTTTTGCTCGGGAAATGCCATCAAATGCACTGCAAAGCATGCGACTCTTCCCACAGTGAAGTCATTAGCATGCATCTGTAGAAAAGAGGCTCCAATGATTGTGGTTCTTTACAAAAAGGCTGTCTTCCTCCCCCCCCTTTTTTTTTATCACATGCAGTCTGGGAGACCAAAATAGTCTCAACATGTTACAAGCCTGAGTTTGTCTTGTCTGTAATCACAGCTCGAGATGGCAAAACACCAAAGGAAGCCTTAGTGTCTGTGCTCTCTAAAAATAGATTCTGGAGTAGGTTACACGGGGAAAGCAAGTCTGGACCCCGAGTCAAAATCTTTGCTACGGTTCATTCGTTGGTGACGGAAACAAACAGGCCTGTCTTTGTGGCATTACTGCCTCCCTTTAACATTTCACAGATGAAGATAAGGACGTTCTTGTAGTCTTATAACCATCTCACATCAGGGATGCCTCCCCTTCTGGCCATGACATAATGCTGAAGACTTTACATATTCCTGCCATATGCTGTATCAATTTCCTCCTCCACAGCCTATGTGATGTAGGGCACAATGAAGCAGGGTGTGTGTACAGCTGTAAACCGATTATAACACTTCCCTTCTTTTACAAGTTAAGAATGTTTATTGGATTGTTAAATCTCACAGTGGATCTGGCCATACCTGTAATGGGATAGCAGCAACTCAAAAACCACCCACTGATGTTTTCTATATGAAGACACACCTCCCCTTCCACCACTGCTTTGGGCCACATGTGTGCTCACTTTCAGAAGTTTAGGAGAGGCATTTCCAATGCCACTCCTTCTTAACAGCAAACTAAGGTGAGGGGTGCTGAAAGAAATGGAGCCAAAATGAGGCCATCATCTTGGCTGTGAGTCCTGGAAGACCTTCTCCCTGGCTTGCAGGCCTTTTCCCACCAGGTCTGACAGGGCCCTGACTGACTCCAGCTACAGAAGCTGAGGCTGTTAAACAAACTCTTGAGCTAGGGTGTTGTTTAGGGTTTCTTATTAGAGGGCTGTGATTGCTATTATTGCTATTAATTTTTTGCACCTTTATTTTAGATATTCTTATGATCTGTATGGAAATTGTTCCATTTGGCTGTGTACTTCTTGATGTTTTATTTATTGCTTATGACTACTTTTGTTATGCTTGTAATTATGTAATTCATTTCATGTTGTAAGCTGCCCTGAGCGTGGTTTGAACTATGGAAAGGCAGCATGCAAACAGAACGGTGCATGTATGTCTTAGCACTCTAGGGAAAACCTTGAGGTTTGCTGAAGTACAACATACCTTAAAAAAACAAGAATGCAAGATGTATAGAGCTAAAAGCTCTATATAAAGCACCCCAATGAGAATTGAGCATGCTGTGTAGCCACAGAATGCTAAGCGTTATTTGAGCTTCTTACAGCCTACAGTGGGCAGACTTCAGGCTTGTCAGATCTTCTCTGCTTTATAATAGAACCCTAACATCTACCACCTGTAAGAAGGTAAAGGGATCCCTGACCATTAGGTCCAGTCGTGGCCGACTCTGGGGTTGCGGTGCACATCTTGCTTTATTGGCCGAGGGAGCCGGCGTACAGCTTCCGGGTCATGTGGCCAGCATGACTAAACCGCTTCTGGCGAACCAGAGCAGCGCACGGAAACGCCGTTTACCTTTCCGCCGGGGCGGTACCTATTTATCTACTTGCATTTTGACGTGCTTTCGAACTGCTAGGTTGGCAGGAGCAGGGACCCTCCAACGGGAGCTCACCCTGTCGAGGGGATTCGAACCGCCGACCTTCTGATCAGCAAGTCCTAGGCTCTGTGGTTTAACCCACAGCGCCACCAGCGTCCCTTCTCCTGACTGACTTATAGCTTTCTGTAAAATGGTGTAGATTTGTGGCATGACCTGCGCAGGAATGACCCACTCCTGCTTAGGAGGTGAGAACACTGCAGCATTTAGGTTGCAGGTCGCCTGTGTCTTCAAAAATGGCAAAGCAAGAAGGTTGATTCTTCAGAGGCAGAAAATAGGGTTCATCTAAGGGAGGCTTCATCAATCTGGTTTCCCCCAGATAGCAACTGTGCACCAAAACATTTGGAGGGCACCACCATGGGGAAGGCTATTGTATGGAAATTAGGGACACAACTGAATTTGAATTTCAGGACCACGATGGCCACTGCATGTTGCTTCTCTATGTTCCATCCTGGCAGGATGTTTTTGATCACCTTTAGCAAAACCTGCCAGTAAAACGTCTTGCCAAAAGGCGCCTGTTGTCAAAAACCCACACCATTTACTTAAAAAGCGAACTTTTTAATAGTCTTCAGAGCTGCAGCAACCCAGTGGCCGCAGTGAATGGGAAACTGAGAGCGCAGTGTGGTTTCCTCAGCGGGAATCTGTCAT